TCGGTTTGAGGAGCATACTTTTCCATAAATCTCGCGTTGTATTGCACTGTACATAGGAATGAGTTCAGTTCCTTCGCGTTGCGAGGAGGCTCGGCCGCCTTGATAGCCTCAACCTTTCGCGGGTCAGGGGATGCTCCATCTTTAGAAAACTTCATCCCGTAATACACACAACTTTGCTTATTGAATTCACACTTTCCCTTGTTAAACGTGATCTTCTTTTCTCTAGCCTTCTTGAATAATTTGTCTAGATTCCGATCATGTTCCTGTTGTGTTTTTCCGTACACAAGAATGTCGTCACTGATGTTGAGGCATCCAGGTATGTCTCGGGTGATCTCCCTGCTCACGGTGTCTTGAAAGATTTCACCCGCGGATCTCGTGCCAAAATTTAGCCTTTTGTATCTGTACAACCCGATGTGCGTTGAGAATGTGGTGATGTCCCGACTGTTCTCTTGCAGTTCCAGTTGATGATAGCCATGATTCATATCCAAGTGGGAGAAAACAGTTGCTCCATTGAGCTCATGTGTGATATCCTCGAGAGTAGGCATAATAGTATGGGTCCGCGGAATGGCTTTATTGGCCTCTCTCATATCCACGTTCAGTCGAATTTCATTCGCCGTTCTCTTGGGTGTAATCACGACTGGGGATACCCAGCTGGTAGGCTCTTCGACCTTCTCGATTACATCATCCCTTATAAGTCTCTCCAGTTCCGCCTCCAGTTTTGGCCTTACGCTGAACGGGATCCTCCTGTGAGGTTGAGCAACTGGTGTTACTGTGCGGTCAACGTGTAGATCGACCTGCACTCCTTCCATTTTCCCGATCCCCAGGAACAGGTCTGCGTATTCGTCAAGTAATTTGCTTGTGAACATTTCAGAATCAGTTCGTCTTGCATTCGTAATCACCACCAGGCCAAGACTTTCGGCAGTCTGAAATCCTATCAAGGGTTCCGTGTTGGTGTTACCTTTAATGACGTGGAACGTTGCCGGGATGATTCTCGTGTTTGACTCTACGACTGCATCGAGTTTGCCCATAACTGTTAATGGCCTGGGCGGGTTTTCATTCGTTTGGTACGAGCGCAAAACACATATCGACTTCTCCAATTTGATCTTATTTGCAAATAGCTGCTGAAAGGTGCATTCATCCATTACGTTAACCGACGCTCCTGTGTCGATCAGCACTTTGACTTCGTGGTTTTCGATTTTTATTCTTCTTACTGGCCTGGGTTTTGGGTTGCTTTCGACAGCCTTAACTTCTTCGATTCCACAAAGGGATTCCGCGTCACTGCTATCTGATTGCACCTCCTGATGAACTGTCTTTACGATACTCTTACTTACTTTCCTTTTACTCCTACAGCATTTGGCAAAATGATTCAGCTTCCCGCATGTGGTGTATTTCTTTCCCCATGCCGGGCATTTCTCCTTTCCTCCCGCGTGTGGAAATGCGCCTCCACAAAAGTAACACTCTTTGTTGATACCAGTCGAGCTCTTTTGCCTTCCAAAAGAGACCCTCTTCAACTCTTCCTCGGTATTGTTCCCTCGACTTTGTTGCTCCATTTCGATTCTCTTCGCTTGTTTATCCGACAATTCCTGTGCTCTAGCGTAATCTAACGCCTCCTGAAGCGAGTGCGGCTTACTGAGCAAGCGGCGTCTAACTCTCTTCGATTTTCCCTTTTCAATTAGCTGCATTTGTATTTCAACTTCACGCCAACCCTCTGGAAATTCACACGGAGCCGCTGCTTGCTTTAAACGCGTGGTGTAATCATCGTACGACTCCTCTTCCTCTTGGGCTAACTGCCGAAATTGGTATATGCTAAAAAGATGATGTCTTTTAGGCTCAAAATACTCTAGAAGTTTNAAGGGTGAGCCTCACTTGCAGGCTGGTTAGGTATAGGGTTCGCTGTATTTAAGACAACCCACTGTTACTAAGTTCATTCCTGTTTATTTTTAAGTTTTATAACGTGACTACAACAATACGCACATTCTCATACGTGAAAACTTATCGCTTATAAAAACAGTAATCCCACAGAAAACCGTGAAACATTTAGAAGCAAGAGCTCTCAAATTGATTTACTAGCGTAAAAGCTATTTGAGCGTTGAATGAATACTTTGAACGGTTATCCATCAATCGCGTTAGATTCGTTATTCACAAACATCCCCAGTTGTTTATTGCGGCGGTAAATCAATACAAAATACAACTGGCTGCTTAAATAAATTGGTTTCCTGCGCAACCGAAGCAGGGGGAAAGGTATGTCATATTTTCTCATTTAGTACTAACTACAACTCCTTAGACCATGAAATGAAATGGAAATTATATTTTAACATTGCTTTGAGTCTGGAGCACAAAAGTTACAGTAACCTCACGACAACATCAACTGACGAAGTCCGTCACCCAAGAATCAACGTACCCATGTGCATCAGGTTTAAAGAGCCACTTTGTATCGACAACTTGGAGACCATAAAGTGCAGTGAAGATGTGTTTAGCAGCTACAGAGATTCTGCAGATACAATTGCGGACGTATTGTTTAATACACATCTCCTTTTAACTGTCGACTTGTAAGTGCAACCTTTTCTCCTGGTTTAAAAGGCGGCATTCCTAAGTAAGGGCAACTGGCACAGCGGAAGGCATCTCCCAAGTAGCACTGTTAAAGAAAGAGAAAGAAATTCACACTAAGGCCACAGTCCTTCAGTCATACCACTGTACAACATTGAATCTGAACCAGATATTAGTCAGATGAAAATACTCATTCAGACACTGCACCACCATTCTTCACGCATCTCCCTTAAATCTCGAACTTCTGTTTTTGAGACTCAAGCTGACAACCACTAGACATTGTTAGACATTTCCTTTCAGACATCTTCGTATAAGAATGAATATGACATCGTTTTGAGAAGGTTTTTTTTTTTCTAATAGATGGTGGAAAGGGGGTTGTGACTGGGAAAAACTTATGTTAGTGTTTTCCATTTTCTGAAAAATGAAGACTTACACTTCCACATGACGACGTCAGAGTTTCCTTTTCTGGCTTCTTCCCTTGATCCAGTTCCTCAGCCAAGCCACATGTGCTGTGAGTGAACAAGAACAAACTACTATGAGGCGGACTGAGAGTACCGCTGAGATGAGCATCATGGCTTTGGGACCCCTGTTAGTTTGTTACTTGATGCATTAGCAGCCAAAGGCAAAGGTTTAAAGAAATGGAAAACCTCGTATTAATCATATTTCCAGGTTTGAAACTAAAACATTCCCCTGTTATCATCACTGAGTACCATTCCTGTACCCCTTACTCAAAACGTATTTCTTGACAAAAAGTTTGGAATATTGAAGATATTAAGCAACATACCAATTCTTGCAAGCTTTTTTCTTTCCTGCTTTATTTGTGCCACAGTCACCTGTAATGTAATATCATAAGCAAGCAGCTCAATTCAAGCACCCCTTCTCTAGCCTCTACACAAAACGATAACACAAAACCACATGCACACCGTGTCTGTAGTAAACATCACTGATCATCAATCCTACAGTATGACTGGTGACAATAAGGATTGTCAGACAATTTTCTAAAGTAGCATGCATTATGCAAGATGTCTTATTCACACTATACACAGAAAGGAGTAAAACATACTTTTAAGTGATGCAGGATCTGGTTTTCTTAAATCTTCTTCGTCAAGAAGAGTGTCTGAATCAAGAATATCCTACGAAGAGAGTAAATTACAATGATATTGGTGGATCAAGCACAATTCAGAGGTACTGTGCCACTACAAAGGGTTGGATTAGCCTAATTCTCAGGTTTGGGACAGTGCATTTCAATTGAGGGTAGCAAAGCTAAATCCAAACAATTACAGTCACAGGCATCCCAAGCTCACGTCTCGAGCAAAAGCGAAAGATTATTTCATGAAAGCGTCACGTGTGAATAGTATGGGGAACAAAATATGGCCCATTTAAAACGCTAAATATTCCGAAAAATGAACATTTTACATGTTAGATTAATAAAACTTACTCATTCCTTGTGTGTCCGTTGTGGTTTTTGGTGATTTCCGTCGTTTTGGGCTTGCTTTGCCATCACTGTTTTTCCTGTTATCAGACGAACAGGAAAAACAGTGATGGCAAAGTAAGCCCAAAACGACGGAAATCGCCAAAAAAAACAACGAACTCCCAAGGAATGAGTAAGTTTTATTAATCTAACGTTTAAAATGTTCACATTTCAGTATATTTAGTGTTTTAAATGGACCATATTTTGTTCCCCACAATATTCAATTCCTTATAACGCATTTGAATTCGCAGTGGTTGCTCGTGTAACTTAACACCGCATCACACAACGCGTGATGCTTAATGAGATAATCCTTCGCTTTTGCTCGAGACGTGAGCTTGGGACGCCTGTGTTACAGTAGGCATTAATTCACAAAGACTTAAAACATCAGAAACGAGAACTCAAGCTGAACCAAACAAACTACTCGTAATGCAAGGTAATTTGGTTTTATCAACTAAGTTGAAATTGCGAAGAGCGAAGGGCTCTGATGAAGGGTTAATGCTCGAAATGTCAGCTTTTATACTCTTAACGGTGGCCAATTTACAATTTCAACTTAGTCAATAAAACCAAATTACCTTGTTACCCCCACCGAGGCAGCACCACAGTTTCTTTACTTACAAGAACTTACCCCCTTTGTTTACTCGTGATGCAGTTAGTCTCCACTGACTTTAGTTTTACAAGCAGTTGGTTGAGAAAATGAGTTTAAAAGAGGAAAAAATGCAATTCTGGATTACTTTGAAAACTGCTCTCACTTTTGAGTAACACTAATA